CTATAAATGCTCATATAATAATAAATAGTGCAATAATCGGATTAGTTTAGCATTTTACATTATATCTGCAGTTTTTGTTATTTATTTGTTTTATTTATTTATTTATTTTTTTTTTAAACGAAAAATTATATAATTTTTAACTTATTTTTTCAAGATAGTACTCTTTGATCTTGGTTTTTATGTTTTGATGGTTGATTTCCTGTTTTAGAGTAATTGGTAATTCATTAATTAGGTATGGTATTTTGTAAGTAAGTTGATTATAACCGTATTGATTTTGACATCTGGGTAATATAAGCTTCGGTTGTGTATTAGTTCTGGCTGGGTTTTTCCTTATTTGCTGTAACTGTAAATCTTTATTGAAGAATTGCTCGACTAACAAGGCATACTTAACTTTTTCATGGATCGGAAGTATTTCACAGAATGTAAACAATTTGGTGAAATCGTGCATATACTTTTGTTTTATTTTATGTGGCACAATTTTTTTAAGTATTCTTAATTGTAAGTCGTATATAAGATCAAGATGAGATTTGAATGTTCGTCCGTAGCTACTGAGACCATATCCTATGATAGATTCACCAAGTGCTTTGTAGAGTGATAGTCTGATTTGAAAGGGAATTTTATTTCTAATAATTGAAAATTTTGCAAGAATTGCACGAAGCTTATCACAGACACCATGGATATGGGAAGTCCATTTCATCCTATCGTCAATTACTAGCCCTAGGTATGTTTGTTTTTCTACTACTTCTAAAGGAGGACAGTTACAAGCTATGCGTCTGTCTGTGTGCATACAACAATGTGAGTGAGCTATTAACTTAAGATCTGTTTGTAATCTGTTTTGGGAGGAACTTATATTCAAAAGTTTGGTTTTCTTTGGATTTAAGACCAGTCCACAGTCATGAGACCACATATTCAATAGATTGAAGTCATTTTGTAGACGTTTGAGCGCTATTTTGACATCAACATCTGCTGCTAAAAGACAGGTGTCGTCGGCAAATTGAAATATTTCGCATTTTGATATTAGATTTGGAAGGGCATTCACATAGGTCATATAATGCAATGGTCCCAGTACTGAACCTTGAGCCGTGCCATCAGTAACAGAAACCCGATCACTGAACGATTCTCCAATTTTCGTATAGAATGAACGATCATAGAGATAGTCCTTACACCAATCAAACAAAGGACCTCTGATACCGCTATCGTCTAGAGCTTCGAGGAGTATGTTATGTTTAAGAGTATCAAAAGCCTTGCTATAATCAATAAAAACCACTAGAATTTGCTTTCTACTATCCAAATGTTTGTATATTACGTCTGTAAAAGAAGAGAGTAGCTGTGTAGTGCTTTTACCTCTTTGAAAACCGTATTGCTTGTTCGAAAGTATTTGATTATCATTATAAAATTTATGAATCTGGTTACTAATGAATTTTTCTATTATTTTATCAAGTGTAGGTAAGATCGTTATAGGTCTATAATTGTCGTAATCTTTTTTAGCACCTGTTTTATGTATTGGTCGTACAATTCCTGTTTTGAGCTCTGCCGGGTATTGTCCCCTTTCTATAGAAGCGTTTATTAATTTTGAGATCGCCAAAGTCATTTTATCACATATCAATTTAACATCTATAGCTCTTATACGGTCCAGGCCCGGCGCTTTTCTTATGTTTAATCTATCAATGATAGGTTTCACATTATATATTGTTGCCTTTTTGAAGCGAATCGATACGTTTACAGATTTTTTGTATAAGTTTCTATTTAGGATTAAATTGTTACATGTAGGTATAATGTTTTTAACGTTGTTGATAAATGTTGTTGAAAATTTGTTAGCAATTTCTTGTAGTGTTATGGATTGTTTTTTGAATGCGTTTATGATTATGCTATCTATTGAAGGTTTAATGCGCCCAGTTAATTTATTTAGTATGTTCCATAGAATTTTATGATTATTCTTATTACTATGTATTTGATTTTTTAAGTTTGTATTTTTAGTGTTTTCTATTATCTTGTTGGCAAAATTTCTAGCTTTATTGTATTTTTGTTTAAGAATCATATTATTTGTATCACTTATCCATTGCATGAAAAGGTTGTCGCGATATTCACAAGCTTTAATGATCTTGTCGTTCACCCAGTAATTACTCGAGCGCAAGGGGTTTGATTTAATGTTTAATTCCATTTTTGATTCTTCGTAGCATCTATTGAAGTTTTGTGTTATAAATTCATATATTTTTTGCGGACAACTCATTGTATTAACTTCATGCCAATCTATTTGGTCCATAAGTGTTTTTAATTTTTCATAATTATATTTTGTTTTTTTAAGTGGAACATGCTGTATGTGGTTTGTATTGGTGCCGCAGAGTGCGAGAACGACAGCTCGGTGGTCTGCCAGTTTTGTACCTATCGCCGCGGTGAACAGGTCTTGCGTTCGGGATCTCGCATAAATGTGGTCGATACACGACTTTGTTAATATATATTTGTTATGTTTATTTTTGCGTAACTCAATACGTGTATACTCTGTGATCCCGCACGCAACACCGCACCCATAAAGAATGTTATTGTATCTATGTTTTATAGGTGATTCTGTTTTTAGGTCAATATTGATGTCACCTGTGAAGCAAACATCGGATTGCGGGTTAATTTTATTTAGTATAGATTTTAGCTCTGCGAGAAATAGATGTTTGCTATTTTTGGGGGGACGGTAAATTGCACATATAGTTAGGGAGTACGTATTAGGCGTTGTGATTTCGAATAGCTTGCATTCGAAGTTTTTTGTAGTAGTATTTATGGTGGTAAGTTTGTGTTTTTTGTTGTAATAAATTATTATACCGCCACCTGTACGATTTTTCCGTAATTCTGTGTGCATACCGTAACCCTTGATTTTAAAGAGGGAACTGACGTTATCTTTTATGTTTGCTTCGGTTAGTATAATGATATCGATACATCTATCGCATGAGTATATGCATTGCTCAAGTGCAGCGAAGTTTTTTATTAGGGACCTAATATTTATATGCATACACAATAGATTAGTACACTTATAGGGAATATTAGAAAGAAAATTATTTATATTTATGCAGTCTTTTAGTTCTATGATATCGATTAGTTCGTTACTTATGATAGCCATTTTTTTATGTATTGGTATGTTAGTTTAATGTTGTGTAGGTATTTACCAGTGTGTATTAACTTATGATTTTAGTAGTTTGTCGACATCTTCTTCGGATCTTATTATTATAATTTTTCCATTATCTTCCTTCCTGGCTCTGATGATTCCTTGTTTACACCATACGTATTTGTAGGTATCTCCAGCTTTTAGCTTTTGTTTTGCATACCATAACAATTTTTTATTATATGGAGTTAATGCTTCTCGAATGAATATTTTTTCGAAGGCTTTGGGTTTGTTTATACCTGGACAGGCGTCAGCAATAATTAAGCTGGTAGTTTTGGCTGCTGAAGTCCAGGTGATACAATCAGCGTCATCCGCGAAGCGAATCATGATGTTCCCAGGGCGGTCCTTACCCGTTCCTTGTCTTTGGATGGCTTTGATATTAGTTGTCGGGGTGTTTAGCTTAATTGCTACTGTCTTTACTATCTCTTTTATATTCTCATTCGCCTCCTGCGGTATGTTCGATAATTCTATAACTGAAGAAAGACGTTCCTGTTCCAGAGATTGTACACGTTGTTCTAGAGCTCCGACACGAGTTTGGAGGTGGGTATTTTGTTGAGATAGCTGTGTGTTCTTCTTTTGAAGGTCCTTCACAACTGTTTTGAACTCTTGGATGGTCCTTTGGAGTTCATCCATTTGGTCAGAGTGATATTGAAGAGATTCTGACAGTTCACCTACCGTTTTTCTTACAGTTTTCTCCATTTCTTTTGAGATATCTTTCAATAACTGTTTGACGTCAATTTGGAGGGTCTGCGAGTCTGCGATTTCCTCAGCTTCCTCTTCTTCTTCATTAGGGATGATGACCGAGTTACGTTTAGGTACTGTTTTTTCGCATTCTTGACACCTCCATTGTAGGTTACTAGACTGGATAGCCTCGCGCTGTTTAGTGCTTAGTCCTGAGCACACTGTATTAAGATGCACGAGCTTTTCACAAGTACTGCATGCCACTCCCGGAGTTTTTCTGGTGATTAGTTTTTCACAATTATCACACTTCCGCATATTGAGGGTAGAATATAATTACGTTAATAATCGAGCGCAACACGTCTATTCGCTCAGACAGCCGACGACGAAAAGTTCGCCTATTTTATTAAATTCATTTACCATAGAACAAGTCACGGATGTATTTGAAATGGTTAAGAGATCTTTACAAAAGTCTGCACATTTTAATTTCGAAAATATCGAAAATATTGATGCTGATGAATTATTTTTCTGGACTGGAGTTACACCGGCGCAGTTTCAACAAATTATAGAAGAGACACCTTTATTGACTCTTTATTGAAGGTGTAAACGACCTAAAGTTGCTCTGGGCATCTACCTTAGTAAGCTAAGAACGGGAGAGTCAAATACAAAACTGTCTGATCTTTTTAATATATCTCGACGCACCTTTGAGCGCTTATTAAAACAATCAAGAGAATGTTTAAGCAACGATTTTGTAACGCGTCACCTCGGAATTGACCATATTACGAGAGGAGAAGTAGAGAGGAGAAACCTTTTAATACCTAATGCTATTTTTGGGAATCCAGAATCTGAAGAAGATAGAAGATTAATCTTTATATTTGATGGCACGTACATTTATATACAAAAGAGTTCTAATTTTTCATTCCAACGTCTTACATACAGCTTACATAAGTTTCAAAACTTGCTAAAACCATTTATTATTACGTGTAGTGACGGATACATAATTGACGTAGTTGGACCTTTTGCGGCAACAACATCTGACTCAACTATTATGACACAATTAATGTCAGAAGACTCGGTATTTCATTGGTTTTTTAAAGCAGGGGATGTATTTATCTTGGACAGGGGTTTTAGGGATTCATTACCAGTTATTGAATCTTGTGGTTACACAGCTCATATGCCAGCGTCAAAGCAAAACAATGAAACGCAGCTCTCAACTAGTCAAGCAAACAAGTCGCGGCTTGTTACAATTTGTCGATGGGTAATTGAAGCCATTAACGGGCGTTTTAAAAGAGATTTTAAATTGTTACGGCAGAAGTATTTTAATAGGGCCGTACCACACATGTTCCAAGATTTTAAAAATGCCGCAGCCATTCTTAATGCTTTTCGGGAACCTTTTACCGATGGACCTTACGCAAATGATATATTAAATGAAATTCATTTGAAAATTAATGTAGACAACTTACTGGCCGACTACGTCATTAATAACAATTTAAATAGGCACCGTGTGAGCTTTGTTTCTATATCAGCTGATTATTTAACTATACATGATTTTCCACAATTAGAAGAAAGAGATTTAATACTGTTTGCTTTAGGTACTTATCAAATAAAGCTTGCTCGGTCGTATTGTAGCGAGCACTTACGAGATGGAGTGTACTTTATAGAAGTTATGGAAGATGAATCTATAGATATTCCGCAAATGCATGTAACTGGAGATTGCTATCTTTTGAGAGGACGTATTCAATCAAGACGCACCAGAGCACGAGTATATTATGTATATATAGTAGTAAATAGGGAAGGCGTTGGAAGAGCGCGCATAATACAACACTATTGTACGTGCCTTACTGGTAGACGGACCTTGGGTTGCTGTGCTCACGTCATGTCGATTGTATGGTATTTAGGGTGGGCACGGCACCAAGGAGCTCTTAATCTTCCAGCATCATATTTAGATGAAGTGATAATACATAGACGAAGTAAATGAGTTTTGAAACAATATATTTTATTTTATTTCATATCTTTTATATTCCCTAAAAAATATTATAACAAGAAATACTGGACCAGATTCCAAAATTGTGTCATAATTCCACAGCTCACAGAACCCTTTTAAACTTAAGACACCATTTGGGTAATCATTTTTAACATACACACCACACAAACAAAATTCCAGACAGAAGTTCAAATATTAAGTATCTACATTAAAAAATAAACATTATTCAAGATATTTCGAAAACTTGATGACTTACGTATTGGTGCCCATAATATTTTTTGATCGTATTAATGATATCTATTGATTGAAAGTAGTTTTTGAAGTGGCCGCTCCCAGGTCCATTTTGCCCATTCTCCTTTCTCAGTATTAACAGATTATAGTCTTGGATGATACCATCTCAAGTCGTCAAACCCAGCTCTATGGCATTGGTTAATAATGTTGAAATTTATATAACTTTCAAATGATGCATAATCAATAAGTAATCGTTGATGTACGCCCAAGTGATGTTTATCAATAAACACAATTGCTCGAAGTAAGATATTAACATCGAGCAATTGACCACCTTTAAAAACATTTCATCAGGTGACCACCACAACTAGTGTTGGCTTATGGTAAAATTTCCATTTTGAAAGTCATATTTTTCAAAAAAAAAATATTTTTCCTTTAATTTTCCACATTTGACGTTGACATGTCAAACATTGGAAGTTAGTGAACGAAAACGATGGCGCCATTATAAAGGTTTCTTTTGCTGTTGTGAAATCATTTTCAATCTCGTTTTTCTCTTAGTGGCTAAACAACACAAGTTTATTATATAAGAAATGAAACTATTTTTCCGGATTTAAATACGCGATATAAATCCGGAAAAATAGTTTCATTTCCTATGTGTAACAATTCTTAAAACTCGATATTTATTATATAATTCACGCCAAATAAAACTTCAATAGATATTCCTAAACGTAGAACATAATATGAACCTTCAAAATTATATTTTTCTAATTTTTCGGAAACTTTTCCGGAAAAATGTCCATATTTGAAATTTTTCGCAAAATTACCGAACAACATCCTTTAACGTCTAGGAATATTAGCCGTTCTTTTCCAAAGAAAGGTAGTTAAAAGTTAACTGGTTTCCAGGTGAACAACTCTTTAATACTGCAGCGCAACATAACTCTGACGGCCCACGTTGTGATCACACTCGAGACCGTCAAGAACCTGAAGGACATCGGAGTTAGAGAGGTATGAAAGTATTCTGACTTGCCTAATAAGTCTTCTCAAACAATACATAATATCAATCGAATCTAATATTATAAATGTGAAAGTTACTCTGTTCTTAATGTTTTCGCGCCTAAACCGCTAAACCAAATTTGATGATAATAATAATAATAAAGTTTCAACTGCCGGCTTCCGTGGCCGAACGGTTAACATTGGCCGGACGGCCACGCAGAGGACCCAGGTTCGATTCCGGGGAAATATTTGTTTGATGTACATTTATTTCTCTCGTGAGTTTGGTTGTAATTTGTGTTTGTCTATGTGTGTGTCCATGGCGCCCGCGACACAGGGTTTCCCTAGTGTGGGGCAATATTGAGAGTGTGCGTTATTATTTTTATTTTATTCAAGTGAGCTTGACTCAAGCTCTTTTGAATTAGAGATTACAAAAAAGACATGTCAAGTAAATAAAACAGTTGTTACAAAATGGTAAGTAGGTAACAAAACTATATAATGTTAACTCCACGCATTTTTATCGTTCATGTAATCATCAACAGTATAGTACCCTTTCGCTAGAAGGTTATTTTTAATACATGCCTTAAACTTATAAAATGGTAAATATGACATTTCGGTCGTTCTTTTATTGAAATACGTAATCCCTTGTACCATAAATGAATTACTAACTTTTTGCATTCGGTATTGAAGCATGATTAATGTATCTTTATTTTGTAATATTACTTTTGCGTATATCGCTGTGTTTATTACAGTAATATTTTGATGGACATGTAAAATACAATTAAAAATAAACGGTGATGCTACCGTTAGAATATTAATCTCTTTGAACATTTTTTAAGGGAGACCCTGTTGTATGATGATGCATTTTGGTATAGAGGTAGATGGGAGAAGTTAGTGGAGGTTCATATTCAGTGTGGGGTATCTAAGCACCGACCGTCCCTCAGGGCCTGAGCGCGCGCGTGGTGCAGGCGCAGCAGCGCGCCATCGGCTGGCTGGAGCGCCACATGAAGCTGCTGGACGACTTCGGCGACCCGTACGCGCTGGCCGTCGTCGCCTACGCCCTCACCTTCTCCAAGGCGCCCAGCTCCGAACACGCCTACCGCCTGCTGAAGAAGCGACAGCGCTCGGAAGGTCGGTTATACTTCGCCCCCTTTGTTTGCCACTTGCCTTGCCCCTCAAAATAATAATGTTCTGGGCAATCTGGTCTTTTCTTTGTAAATATCAAGTGACGGGACGAACAAGGCGTGCGCGTGACGGCCAGCTACACGCCTGTCCATAATAGTTGCAGTGATACTAAAAACATTAAATCGCAAAGATCTGAGGGGTAGTGCTATTGCGCCCGTCACCCTGAGACGTAAGTTAACAAGTCAAATGTGCTTGTAATTTCACCAGCACCCTTACCCTTCAACACTGCAACACAGTGATGTTGACATTACTGCTTAGCGGTAGAAATAGGTAATGTGGCAGTGCTTCCCTGGACGAACTCTTTCACAAGGGGCTCTACTGCTACTAAAACCGTCTCATATTATCGTCAGTATTTTGTAGAAAGGGCGAAAGCGCCGTTTCGACAGAACTTTCAGGCATGTTTTAGTTTTTCACGACGGTTGTATAATATTTACGTTTGGTTTTAAAAGTCAATTTTCATTTTAATTAAGTAAGTTTTAAAATTGAATTTACTAGACATAAATATTTTTCGTAATGGCGCTTTCGCCCTTTCTACAAAACACCGACGATATTAGAGAACTCATTCATGAGTCCCAGAGCACCAAAATGAACTCCAGAGCACTTATCACACAATAAACTTTCTGGGGTAAATTAAAGATGGGGTTTAAATAATAACTTTTGTAACTATAGTGAAAAATAGGGTGAATAACTGGTTAATGGCTACCATTTCAGTTAGCCGTGACCGTTGGACCTGTAAAGGGCCCAAAACATTGGTTTGTTTGAAAAAACATACTCTATTTAGATCCGAAAAAGTAGTTTCATTGACAACCTGATAACGCGACATGATAGCATTGTTATTCCGGAGCTACTGAATATCGAAGCAATACATTCAACAACCGATAATGATATTGCTATAAGTATACTCATAATATAAATGTTTCTCAACTTAAAGCAGGTTAAAATATAAAAGAATAGCCATAACCCTTTTGAAAACACCCTAGGTGGTTTGGTGTATTGGGGTAAAGAGCCGGTTCCGCCGCCGCCGTATAAGATGGAGAATCAGAAGCCGTTCCTGCTGCCGCGCCTGCCGTACAAATACGACTCGAACAATATCGCGGCAACGGCGTACGCGCTCCTCGCCTGCATGGACCACCAGGACAACAACGAACCCATCGTCATGTGGCTAAACGCGCAGCGCCTCAAAGACGGCGGATGGGCGTCCACGCAGGTACGGCATTGGAATCTCATCAGCTAATCCTAAGCATTTGCAAAACGGGCAAATATGAAGCAGGAATAATCGCTTTATCTCTGTATATCTAAAGTGATTGTATATCGCAACACCTAGGGGTTTTCTGGAAGTAATAAAAACAAAATTGCCTCCGTGACCGAACGGCTAGCAAGCTGGACTGCCACGCAGAGGTCCTATAGATTCCCGGGCTGGGAGAAATGTGTATGATCTACATTTACTTCACTCGTTTGGGTGTAATTTGCGATTGTCTAGGTGTATATCCGTGGCACCCGCGTTACAAGGTTTCCCTAGTGCGGCGCTAAGAATGTACGCGTTATGTCAAGTTAACAAAAAGTACGAATTTATCAATTATGGCCTTTACTACGCTACAAGACAAAAAGATGACCTGAAGGCTTTAAATCCGTATTATAACCTAAATAGCTAACTATTTCAACAAAAAAACACTTTTTCTTTTTATTACAATCAACGAAAAGTAAAATATATGTTATAGAAATGCACGTAACAAACATAAACTCTTCTATATGCTACATTATAATGCTTTCCATCATTATGAGAGGATTTGCCAATCTGCGTAAAGTACTCATCCATTGTTGCCCAAGGTGTTGTCTTTCGTTCGCCCCGTAATATAAACGATTTAAACTAAATATTACATGAACATTTGTTGCACAAGCCTGTGTCATTATAATGAATATAATGACGATCCCTGATGTGATTCAATATATGTATACAGGACACGTACATCGCCCTGCGCGCGCTGATAGAATACACGAACCGCAAGCGGCTGCGCGACGTGAGCTCGCTGACGCTGACGGTGGACGCCGTGGCGCTCAAGGACTCGACCAAACTGCTGCACGTGCGGAACGACAACCTCGCGCAGATGCAGAGCATCGACGTATGTCACCCCATAATTTATTCACACATTAACTTTCAATAAGAAATATTTACTAGAACACGACGAAAATGATAATTTTACGAAAACTGACAACCCTGCAAACGTCGTACCCACAGACATATATGTATATAGATAGACGCCGCAAGTGTGCGTACTTCGCGTGCCCAAAGTAAGTGAAATTCCCTTACTTACCGCTGCTACACTTCAGAACGCGCTTGACCGTTATCGTATGTAAACACCAGTCGAAAACGCGAAAAGTGCATAATTGTGCCATTATAAACTGCAAAAGTACCATAACTGTAAGTAAACGGCAAACAGAGACGTTTCCTTCCACGGGCAAGTGATTTTGTAATCGGAAGATGCACAATTTATTTTAAAAACAATTATTTTAGTTTTGTATGAATTGAGAAAACAAATATGCAACCGAGTGTATGCCTCATGTTTGTAAAACATTGCGGCTTTTACTTGGTGCGGTACATTTGTGATCCTTTGCTAATACGCCATGAACGATCGAACGAACGCACTTTTGTATAATGCATTGAGTTTCGTGGTACGGCCGCTTGTACATTTTTTTGGCCAAATTTAACATTTAGTGATGTATACGTGAGGACTGGGCGAAACGGCGCACATTGGGGGAGGCCTTTGTCCAGCAGTGGACTGCGATAGGCTGATGTTGATGATGAACGTTAGGCAACACTGTTCTCGATTCTGATCGATTTTGAAAACAAAGGGACGAAAATTATTATGACTGTAGCAATATTATAAAAATGTTCTAGAACTCTTTTATTATAACGTTTAGTAACGTTTGGTTCTTTTTTTTTCAGTTTTGTAGTATCTATTATCAGCAGTATCTATAATTTCGATAATTTTTGCAGCACTATGCCTCGAATGCCCGAATATAGTGAGCAAATAATTACATACGTCGTGGGATACGTAGTACCAGTAATACAAAAAAATATATAATGCAAAGAATTAACAGTGCGCTGTCTTTACAAAAACTTGGAATTGGCATATCCACTTAAGATGCTATCTAAATATGCAGATAAGCAGAGTTAGAAATCCGAGAAATAATAAACAAATAAAAAAAATTCACACGAGTCCGTTAATGACGGTAAACCTCTACTGATTAATAAGATTTTACCATATTTTGTCAGCAGTAACATTTTCATTTGTCTTGCCATTCAACAATTTGATCCATCAAAAATATTGTTTGTTTT